CCAACGAAAGCATAGAGCAGCCCCCCTTCCAGAGACAAACAACAACTGAAATTGAGAGAAAGAGAGAGATAAAGTGAAATATAAAACAGAAAATCACAAGGGAGTGTTGAAAAAAAAAGGTTGGTGGGAATGAATTGCAGTTTTCATTAACCTTCAATTATTTTTCTTCAGACAAATAAAGATTAAATTAAACTTGGACTCCAACCAAATTGGTTCCCTAAATTAAGAAACTGAAGAGGGATATTTCAAATACAACCTCTTCATCATACTCCTTGTAAGGATTCTGGAAATAACACATTGTTAAATTGATTTCATTGCAGATACCAAATAAAAGCTGCAAAGTTAATGGCAGATCAGGATATTGTCTGATTAAAGTTATACACAAGATCTCGAAGGTCATACTTCATACTGTATACAAGCATTAGAGCCATTTCTACATTTTGCTAATGTTCTGGTCAAGGACAATCAAAAAAAAATCAAATCAAGTTTAAATTCTGACTGTAGACACATGTTTTCAATCATACATGCATTTATATGTAAAAGACTGCGGAGAAGTATGCAGCCCAGAGGTAAGGTCATCTGAGGCGACTGACTTCCTGGCACTGTTTCCAAAATTTGTCTTTTGGTTTGAGGGGAAACCCATGTGTCAAACACATCCATTAAAGCTTTCAAAGGACACCATTGTTTTCAACATTTGTCTCCGATTAGTCAGAGAGCTCCCTGGTTTAAATCAATTGCTTAGTGGTGCAGTAAAGACAAAAACCATTATATGCAGAGCAGCAGGAAATTGGCCCCTCTTTGAGGGAATTCATAGGAATTGAGGAAAAAAACAGCCCAAGGAAGGATCTGACTGTAAAAAGTTCTTCCAAGCTCAATGGTCAAAATTAGGCAACATTGACTGAACACAGACTTTGATTTGTGTCTTAAAACATTGGGTATCTTAGCACCAATTTCACACTTTTTAATGTTATATTTTCAATGTGATGTGCGTATGGGGGTAAACGCATTACAAAAACCGTGAGATACGTAACCAGGTTACTTTTTTCAAGTAACTAGTAAAAGTTACTTCTTCAAAAGTAATGTAAGTTACTTTGTTTTCCCATTTATTGACCGACACCTCTCTTGTCTCCATGTTGAGAGAAATCGAGAGTAAGTGCATAGGTGTTGTGTGCGTAGTGTAGACATGATGTTTATTGAAGTTTATTGGAGTAATGTGATTTTCTTTTTTGACAATTATATCAAAATCACTTGAAATCCTTTTCCTAACCCACTTAGAGCCACTGAGGTAGAAGTACTAAAATGAAAATTAAGCCATTTAATCATCTGTGGAACGGGCAGGACTCGAAAAACTCCAGCCAATCATTTCCAAGACCACCTAGAATCAATGGACAGTCAGTGCGTCAATCAAACGTCGTACCATCCCCCCTCCCCCAGCCCCCTTGCGCACGTGTCACCTTCGTGCACATACTCAAAGCTTGTGACCCATTCACAGTAAGTGCAAGTCGCCCCGGTACAGAGAAAATGCACATCCATGTTCTTCGAATGGGTGGAGTCAGGGCCAGCATTAGAGGAAAGAAGGTAAGACCTTTCGAGTTGTGTGTTTTCAAAATCTGCCAGCCGTTTTGCAAATCCCATACCCTAACTTTAAATAACTTAAATATACTATTTAACTAAAGTGTTGCAATTTCTTCTATTCTTCTATTTTAGCCATCCATTCTAATTTCTATTCCATCCAGAATGGCAACACTGCTGAAATGTTTGTTCGAGCTGTGTCCTCAACTTTACAGGCATTCATTTGCATTTCCTTCAGCCTACGGCTTATTCGTTTCACTTCAGTGTGAAGGGGCCTTTACATTTGCCAAAAATATAACTTTTATTGTTGTTGTTATTAAGCCCAGCCAAATTGAGAAGAAGTAATGCAAAAGTAATGCAACATTTATTTTTGTTTAAAAAGTAACACAATTAGTTACTTTTTAAGGGAGAAACACAATGTTGTAATGCATTACTTTTAAAAGGAAATTTCCCCAATGAGGAAAGTTGTTTTTGCATATGAAGAGTTCAGATGCAAAAGTCTCTAAATGCCATTTGAAATTTTCTTCTTTAATGATGATTTTTATCAAACTTGTATATTTAAGTTCAGTAATTTCACTTAAATATCAATTAATAGGTAATTATCATTGCCATTTAAGTGAAATCACTGAACTTAAATATACAAGCTTGATAAAAATTATCATTCTAGAAGAAAATTTCAAATGACAGGCTTTTGCATCTGAACTCTTCATATGTTATCTCTGCATTACATATGTTATACTATAATACAGATTACTCAATGTTCACACACATAACATCCTTACAACACCTGAGACTTGATGTAACCCTCAAAATGGCACTTGATTAAAGATAAACGTCTCAACATTTTCCTTGCGAGACTACACTGCATCAGTGATACTTACTAACTTGGTGTGCCGTAACCTCTAGCTCGGGTGAAACCCACAGATACAGCGACTACAAGGGCTGGAAGACCTGCAAGAAAAAAGTTTATGATGAAAAAACTCAATTCGTTGAAATTAAAAAAAAAAAAAAAAATGGTTGCTAAGTTCATTGATATTTAAAGGATGGAACAAGAATGAAATGAAAGTACATTTATGGGAATGTACGAGAAAATTATTGTCCACCAGATTTAACAGAGGACGAGCATTGCTGAAAGGCAAATTATAAAAATCTAGTCTCCCTGATCCCTGATTTTTTCCCTCCCAATAGAGCCATTAATGGCAGAAGGCCTACGGCCAAGTAATGTCCTCTCACATTGGTGACTTTCTGGAGCTTGTGCCCTTTTCATGGACAAATGCACACAGTGTACAAGCACACCATTCCCCTGTGCACAGTGCCCTCCCAGACCTCAAACACGCTACTTTAGCAGAGAGCAATTCCCATGGGCCTCTTTGTATGCGTCTCTTTTCAAGAGGCCAAAGTGCAGAAGTGTAATCGTTCCTGTCTGTATTCCCTAAGAATGTTCCACAGGGAAAGTACACAGAGCACCCTACACCCCCTAAACACAGGTGTTTCTGATGTGTACCAGTCCCATTTTTACATATCATTCGGCCACTCTTCAATTGCATGGCCGTCGACAGAATTGAACTTCACGCTCCATCAGCAACTCCACCTGCAGCATGGGTTCTGTGATCTAATCTGATCTATGTCTTGTGATAGTCTTCAGTAATATTGTAATCATCCTTCCTCATGTATTTTAACTTAAAGGGTTAGTTCACCCAAAAATGAAAATTCTGTCAGTATTTACTCACCCTCATGTTGTTCCAACCCCGTAAGACCTTCGTTCATCTTCGGAACACAAATTAAGATATTTAAGATATTAAGATCGCTCCTGCATACAGTCCATAGGCTTCTTGAGGGACTGGCTCTTGCTGTCCCCGAAAAGTCATTAAAGACATCGTTAAAATAGTCCAAGTGACTACAGGGGCTCAATCTTAAGTTTATCAAATGACGAGAACACTTTTGTGCGCAAAAAAAACAACAAAAATAACGACTTTATTTCAACTATTCGTTTATTTCTCCCTCTGCGCGAGTCAGGTTACTAGTTTAATAGCGTAAGCTTCTGTTATTGTACGTCACACGCATCACACACACATGACCAGTGTCGGCCAATAGTGAGCCTACGTGTGACGTAGCTCTACGCAATCACACTACGTTAACTGACTTCATGGAGAAGGAAGTGAATAGTGTAAATAAAGTCGTTATTTTTGTTGTTTTTTTGCGCACAAAAGTGTTCTCGTCGTTTGATAAACTTAAGATTGAGCCCCTGTAGTCACTTGGACTATTTTAACGATGTCTTTAATGACTTTTCGGGGACAGCAAGAGCCAGTCCCTCAAGAAGCCTATGGACTGTATGCAGGAGCGATCTTAATATCTTAAATATCTTAATTTGTGTTCCGAAGATGAACGAAGGTCTTACGGGGTTGGAACAACATGAGGGTGAGTAAATACTGACAGAATTTTCATTTTTGGGTGAACTAACCCTTTAAATGAAGTTGTCTTAACTTGTTGACTTGCTCTGCTCGCTCTGTCCAGGCATGTATGTGCACATGGTGTTTGTCCAGAACAGAGCCATACAGCCAACGCTAACAGTATGCATTGCCAAAATAATAAAATACTGTACATTAGACATACAGTAAGTATTCCTGACTGAACTGACATCTTAGCCGCTGATACTACAAGAGCCATGGGCCACAGAATCAACAGTAACCTCATTGTTGAAAGGTATTGCTCAAGTGTTACTGTGTTTTGTTTCCGGTATTATCTTTCAGATGTATATTTAATATATTTCAGTTCACAAAGCGTATGTTCTTTACACTGAACGCAGTACATCCAAACATGTATTGGAAACTCTCCAATAAATGTAATTGAAATTAAATGATTTCATCTTGAGATTGAGGAAGGTGTGCTTATTGGTCCTTGATTACAATGTTGCATTCAGTGACCTTTACTGTGTCGAACCCCATCCTCCGCTCCCCTGTCTGTGTCTCTGAGTGTTTCCTGACCGTCTCTCTATTGTGTTTGCCATCACAGTCAGGGAGGCCAGCGTTACTCATGCGGTAATTAGACCTATCCATTCTTCTCGCTCTATGTCTGCGTGCCACATCCACACGTAATGAGCTCTCCTCTGAAATATTCATGTAATTAACAATGCTCTGATTAACTCTAGAAATTAAAGGCAATTAGAGAAACTCGGGTTTAGAGAACAGGATTGAAAGACATGCGATGAGCGGGGATCCAAATAGCACTCTGGAGGAAGAAATGAGCGACACAATGAGAAACATGAGTTTGCTCTGATGGAAGGAAGGTGTGATTGAAAATTGATTGGCCATTTAAACGTAGCTGTGTATTATTTTAGTTTTTCAGGCAGCTTAAAAATCACACATAAACATATAAATCATAAAAAAATTAGAAATACAAAATCAGGTATTCACAGCATTTCAACATTAGATACTGTACGTGTTTTAAGGCCTTTTTAAAGCAAATTAGTTTTTGATGTTTTACCTGCAAATTCTAACAAAGTGATCAGTCCTATATGGAAGGTTTTTTTCTGCCAGAGAATAAAACATTTTAAAAGATAATTGTGACTTTTTTTCTGCCAATTGCAAGTTTCCATCTCGCAATTCTGACTTTATTTCTCAGAATTGTAAGATATAAAGTCAGAATTGCGTGATATAAAGTCAGAATTGCGAGAAATAAACAATTGCAATTCAGATTTTTTACTTGCAATTACAACTTCATCTCATCTCCCAATTGTGTGTTATAAAGGCAGAATTTGCAAGATGTAAAATGCAATAGTGAGAAAAAAGGTCAGATTTGTGAGATAAAAAGTCCTACCTTTTTATTTTTTATTCTGTGGTGGAAGCAAGCTTCCATAGTCATATGACTTATTTGATGTAATAGAAATACATATATACAATAAAAAAATAAAACGAAGATTTTTTTTTTTTTTTTTACATTTTAACAATTTTATAAATTGTATACCTTTTGACAATTTCGACACTAAATCAATACATTTTTTTTTTTTTTCCACGGTGTGGCATATGATATTCATTTATAAATGGCTTTTGGCCTAATGGCTAAGACAGTTAGAAATTAGACAAAAAACAATGGGGAGAAAAAAAAATACATAAGCAGGATTCGAACTACAATTACAACCGCAATTTAAGCATGTACACGACCAGCCAGGCCACATTTGACGATATCCATATTTCACATTCTGAGTAACACAAGTCATTTTCTAACATCTTAGTTAGAAACCCATCTACAACCAACTCCCTGTGGGAGGGAATCCAATTCTGCAATATCTGTAAAGGGCATCTATGAATTAATGGAAGTGATAGTGGATCAATAAGTTACAAAACATGTACGTGTGCCATTGCAAGTGCTTGAACACCCTTTCAGATCACGCCTGTGTTAAGATGGTGGCACACAATGCATTTCTTATCAACGATCACATATCTACGTCTTGCATCACAGCTGTAACACTGAGCTCCCGTGGCATGTTTGTGGTGTGTCATTGGGCTCCATTAAAGCAAACAGACATGGCAGACAGTCTGATGTGATTGAATTGATAAGAACTGGCATGTTACCCTCATACGGAGGACAAAATAACATCGTTTTGATCTTTGATGTTAGTTTCTTGTGTGTGTGAGGGTGTCCTACCCCAGCCCAGGCACAGGAAACGCTTCCGAATGAGGCGGGACCTCATCTTGCCAATCACGGCCAGGTAGGATTGCCACGCTTCCGTCAAAACCCAGCAGAAAGAAGCCAGAAAGAAGAAGTGCAAAAAGGCAGCGGTCACAGTGCACAGTCCCTAGAGACAAAAGAAGGAAGGAGAAATGAAACAACAGAAAAGGAGCGACAGAAAGAAGTACAGAAATCAAGAAGAGGATTTGCTATTTGTTATCAAGAAAGCGAGAGCTAGAGTGATTGAGAAGTGGGAAAGAGCCGCCGACATTAAAGAATGTCGTCTAGACACTGACTCAGTTCCATTATGGTGTGTAAATTATCTCTAAAATTACATATAAAACTAGAAAGCGCATCCTTTGCATGTTTTTCCCCTCACAGACGGTACTTCAAATGTGAAAATGGGTTAGTTACAGGTTGAACAAGTTCGAAGGAAAAATAGCAGGCTGGAATTAAAGAAAAGTAGGGTTTAAGTAAGCGGCGAACGCAAATGAGAAGCGGTAAGCAAAGTATCTCGCTGGGGTTTTATACAATAATGAGGTGCATATTCTAATGCTAAACACTGGCTCGCCTAGCAAATGACCCTGGAAATGAGAAGGATTTCACACCATTCATGGATCCTGAAATTAAGCTTATCTGTACTTTCTTAGACTAATGGTGAAAATGAGAATTTTGTGAAATATTAAGTCTGGATTGAGGGGGGAAGGGGTCCTGTGAGTTCTCTTGGTTCTCTTCAGGTTTCATTGTAGCTCTGAGCGACAGGTTGAGTTTAAATGGCAGCACTTATTTCTCAGGTGCCTCTGTAGTCTCTCACGCTCTCTCAGTGTGACAGTCACGGCTGACACAAAGCTGACCCTGCAGCGGCTTCCACGAGTCTGTCTGCTACATGCACCGGCCTGAGTTTCTCAAATTCTACCAAGGCCACTTACATAATGACATGACACCCTGGAGAGAACAAACACCCGTTACCTGTACCACAGACAGGTATATCCAATTTATTTTGTGAATTTCAATTGAATTTGAATGTTGGTAGCAAACAGGACTCAGAATTGTACAGCCCATTCTCACCCCCAAGGCGTCACAAGTCCATAGAGAGTCGAGTCCGAGTCAAGACCGAGTCCATAGAGAGTCGAGTCTGAGACCAGAGACGGTCGAGTCCGAGTCGAGACCGAGACCAGTGAGGGTTGATTACCTAATTTACTTTTATTTACTTAGAGAAATCTTTTTTTTTTTTTTTACTGAATTTACTTAGAGTTTAAAAAATATGATCAGTTTAGTGTAAAAAGGCCACATAGTAGGTGGTGTTAAAAGTAATTTTATTACAATTTGTCATGCGCAGTTGCGCACTAGAAAATCACCAATCACTGGGCGTGTCAATCAATTTAGAAATGTTTTATTAACATACATTAATAATCATGAAAAATATTTGGGATTGAACTCGAGTGGACTCGGGAATAATTCCGAGTCCTAAAAAAAAAATGTTCGAGTACGAGTCAATTCCGAGTCCAAATGGACACGAGTCCATGACAAGACCAAGACCATTAAAATATGGTCTCGAGACCGCGTCCGAGACGAGTCTGAGTCTCGAGTACTACAACACTGGCCCTAGGATCACTTGTAACCCTACCCCTACCCCAGACCTAAACCTACCCACGTCATCTACAGTAAGTGACGCTTTTCCTTTAGCGTCAATTAGATGACGCTGTAGGATCGCGTCATGTAGCCTAACTGTTGAATATTGAAGCATGGTCAAAGCGTGACGCCTTGGGATGAGAATGTGTTGAATTGTAATATCAATTTAAGTAAAATTCGACAAAAATAGACCCGGCCCCGGAGGAAGATGGATAGAAAAAATAGAGCCAAACAACATGAATAACATATAAGTTGTTCTTTCTGAACTCTTTCTCTCAGACACATTACAAAGACCAAAAAAAAAAAAAAAAAAAACACACACACAAATGTGCACAGCTACTTACCTTACTAAGAGTTTGGGACTGTCCCACCAGTATAAGCACATTTGAGGCCAGTATGGACAAGCAGAAGTTCACCAAAATGATGGACCTCTCTGAACGAATGTACCTGAGAATCAAAGAAAAACACGAAAATCACACACTGACAACTTTAACAGCAACCGTTCTGCAGTTATGACAGTATAATCTTTACAAAAGCTTGATGTCATAAAGGTAAGGGATCCATTTATCAACATCCATTTATCATATTTTTCACTCCATTGAACACTGACAACTTGAGCAGCATCCTAGATAACCTGCAGATGAACTCTGAAACGCAAGAACCGGCAAGCAAAATGTCCTCATCCGCTATTTGAGCTTTAGCCAGTTCTGCTCAAGAGGACAATGACATGCGTTCCCTGGATCAATGGCCTGAGTGATAGGAGAGAACACTGATAAGCTTTTGTTGGTGTGGCAGAGGCACTAAGCTTAAAGAGAGGACATATATCTCCCCACCACCTGCTATGGAATTATGGGAAAGGGGGGTGGAAATTGCTCGGATCCAAATTATTTGCATACTTAACCCTTAACACCTATATAATTGCATTATATACTAAAAAAATTTAACACACTATAATATAAATATGATTTAATATAAATAATGTAGAACACCATGCTTTTCAATCAATCTGTCTCACACATAAAAGTTTGTATACTGGTCAGGTTTTTAATAAATGAATACTTTTCTAAAGGCAATGACAAAATGTATCAACTAGTAAACACGTTTATTTTTTTTTTTTACAAAGAAAATTAATAATAATACTAAACTATTAAGCAGCAAATCAGCATATTATTTCTGAAGGATCATGTGATCTGAAGACTGTGGTAATGATGCTGAAAAATCAGCTTTGACATCACAAAAACAAATTACATTTTAAAATACATAAAAATGTAAAAAATTATATATTACTAATCACACTATCAGTGTTATACAGTATATATATATATATATATATATATATATATATATATATATATATATATATATATATATATGAAGAGTTCAGATGCAAATAAAGCCTCTAAATGCCATTTGAAATGTTCTTCTTTAATGATGTTTTTTTTATCAAACTTGTATATTTAAGTTCAGTAATTTGACTTAAATAACAATTAATAGGTAATTATCATTGCCATTTAAGTGAAGTCACTGAACTTAAATATACAAGCTTGATAAAAATTATCATTCTAGAAGAAACTCTTCATATATATATATATATATATATATATATATATATAAATTATTTATACAATATATAGTAAAATAGTAATATAGTAAATATAGTAAAAAAAAAAATAATAATAATAATAACAATATAGTAAAAAAAAAAGACCATAATTTGAAAAAGTCATACTTCTGAGGAGATAAATACTTGACTAAGCGCCCGGCCTTGTTCTGGACGTAGTGTTAGCAGATCATGTGACCATCCCAGGCCATCTGCCACACTGAGCTGTTAGCAGCCACGCTAGCCTTCACTTGCAATCTCCACATAATCCTGTCCCGCAACAGGAAGCTCCCGCCATCCCTCATTTGTTCCCAATTATTGCTAATTGCAGTTTTGGCCTACTCTAGATCTACCCCGTGCCAGCTGCTCGATCCCAGTCCAGGCAACCCCACGTGGGAAGCTGAGCAAGTATGAACAATGAATCTTTTAGGGTATAAGTGTACCTGTGAGAGCACCGGGATGTAAACAAGGGGAATGGTGCACGATAATATCCTATTATCATCAGAGGACAGCAGAACCTGGAAGCTACATTAAGAAATTCCTCTGTAGAATAGTGGGTTAGAGGAGTGCCTTTCTGAACTCACCTCCAGAAGGCAGCATAGATGAGCAGCAGAATGAGTAGAGCCGTACAGGATATGCCACAGCCCACCATGAGGGGCACAGACGGCATACTGGAGGGCCCCATAGCCTGGGAAGAGATAGATGGAGAGAAGGAAGATTAATAATTGTAAATGTAGGTGATAACACAATCAGCCGCTCAACAATGCAAAATAACAATCAGCCTGAAAAAGTTTATTTTGACATAATGACCAGCTGACTGTACTTAATGCTGCTAAATCCATGGCAACAAACCAAACAAATCAATTAAAAAAATAATATTAGAACTAGAAAACAAAATAGAAAACAATTATTATGAAATATAACAAAATTACTATTTTAACTGTTAAATAAATGGTCAGGAAAAATGGTCGGCGCACCCGGTGCATGGCCTAAAAGGGTTGTCCCAATTTTCTTAAGGAGTAATGGGTGTGTTTTGGGCGTGGCGTGCAAAAAAACAATCAGAGTGTTGATTCGATATTTATACGACGCAATTTGCAAGTGGAAAGACTGAATGCTTTTCCAGAGAGAAAACGTATCTGCTCGTGCGCGAGGTTAAAGCACGCAAGCAGACCCTCTAAAGGACAAGCTGGATTCCAGCATATTTTTATTTACACAATAATCACAATAATAATGGCAGCTGAAATCAACTCCGTAATACACAATACGCCCCCAACGGACGTCATACTACACAGTGAAAAGCGTCGGACGCGGGTCAAAATGGTGGAGAGATTAGAAAGGTTGATTCTGTCAGTTCTGTATGATCTCTCTGATGAGGGTTTTAGAGATAGAGATATTAATAGGAAGGCTGCTGCGTGAGGAAAGTTGCTCAGGACGTTGACATATCAGGTCGGCTAAAACATGTGATATAGTGATAGTGGTCAATAGTTCAATGTCTGCCTAATATTGAATTGTATTAACTGCCCTAATAAAGTTAGAAAGTCATGAAAATGAAAAAAAAAATGACATGACAACTTATCGTTAAAAAAAAAATATCATTATTTATTTTATTAAAAGTCAAGAATTCCATAGCAACGCTTAACTTCCGCTGGAATTGTCGGATAGTAACTGTCCATAGCTTTTCACAAGAGTTTCTTGACCAACGGACACGATTATCTTCGCACCGCACTCAGTCGGACCCGTTTCGGACCCATTCGCATGCGGTCTGCGAATCTTCGTAGGGAATGAATGACTTCCAGTCATTTCAGAGCCATTTCGGAGCTGATTTCAACTGCCAGTGTGGAGGCGGCGTAATCCGATGTTTACTGTAAATTTGGCTAATTTGTGTGCTGTGTGAGTAATAAGCAGTGTAATAAGCAGAGTGTAACGCGTCCCTTTAAATAACAACAAAAAAAGTTTCACCAGGTTTCAGTTGGTCAATGCAACAGTCTATTTCTGTTGCCTCAAAATAGCAATGTGTCAATGCGCCTGAACACACCTCGTTTTCAGACCAGCAGCCCATGGGCGCGTAAATGCATTTTAGAAAACATGGCGCAGGATGTGAAAATGATAACTGCGTTGGGCTGAAACTAGCATAAAACACTTGCGTTGCACCTGGCGCTGCATTGCACAAAATGTGTGATAGTCCCCAAAGTGTGTGAGTGTGTATATGAAACGTGAGTAAAAATTGCAGAGAAAGAAATCAGATTCTGCAAACACTTGACAAACAGCTTCAGGTTGGGAGAAGGATAAAACTGCAGAGAGAAAAAAAAATACAGAGGGGTAGTAGTGGAAGGATTACATTCTGCTCAGGTTAAAGCTAAAGGCCAAGGGTCTTCTTTCCAAGCAGCCTCATGCGCCTCCATCTTTCACTCCTGGGCTCATTTTCTATTTTTTTCCCACCAGGTCTTAGCTAGATTTCTTCTTAAACTGGACATTCATCCCCCATTCAGCCCTTTGGCACTTGTGACCCCAGCTTATTAAGCATATCTGCCTAGAGAAGGGTTACTACGGGTGAACACATGCTTCATATTTCTGGATTGTTCCACCTACTCGGTCCTACCATCAAGAAGTGTGTGGTGATCTGTGTAACCAAACATTTCCTCTGCGGTAAAAGCAGAGTTCAGGGTTCAACTTAAAGGTATATGCACAAGTACAATGAAACGTGTATATATGCGGACGCTATTGTCAAAATGTTTTGAAAAATTCAAATGTATGCTGCTTATAGTCTTAAAATATGTAGGTAAACTGTAAACTGTTAAAAGGGCTTTAATTGATTCCAGACGATGAATAAGGGTCTTAAACGATCTGCTCATTTAATAAATAAATAACAAAGTTTAAGTTTTATAAGCTCAAATGCTCGCCTTGCTCTGTTCTGTGAAGCACGTTTGTGACTCTCCTGTTTGAACTCGTTCATCAAAATGAACAAATCTTGTTCTGAGCCATTTGGTTCATTCAACGAACGAAACAAACAAATTGACTCAGGAAAAGATTTGTTCATTTTGATGAACGAGTTCAAACAGGAGAGTCACAAACGTGCGTCACAGAACAGAGCAAGGCAAGTATTAGAGTTTATAAAACTTAAACTTTGTTATTTATTTATTAAATGAGCGATCGTTTCACTTGATAAGACCCTTATTCATCATCAGGAATCGTTTAAAGCCCTTTGAACAGTTTGCAGTTTGTACTGAAAGTGTCTTTTGGACCTTGAACCGTTTGGTTCCCCTTGAAGTCCATTATATGGAGAAAAATCCTGGAATGTTCATCAAAAACCTTAATTTCTTTTCGACTGAAGAAAGAATGACATGGACATCTTGGATGACATGGGGGTGAGAAAATTATCAGCAAAAGTTTTTTTTTGAAAAGTGAACTACTCCTTGAAATACAAATAAATAGAACAAACGAACGAATGGACAACTGATAGATATATAGTTTGGAAGATAGATATTTAGATGGATAAAGAGATAGATAAAAACAAAATACGGTTAGAACGGACGATAGATAGATAGACAGACAGACAGACAGACAGACATTTGTGCCTTTCTGCTCTCCCAATAAATTGCATCTTCACATAACGTGCTATACTGTCATGTGAACTACAGGGGGGTCTAATCACTCAGACAGTAATGTGCTAAGGCCCCCATCACCAGCTCTTCACAGCACATCATTACGGTGGATCAGCCTGTAATCATTACACAGGTCACAGTATTCCTCTTTGAAACTAGAAACATTTTAGAGTGAGTAATCCCTACTGCTTTTATTTGTCTGTTTTTGTGACTACACCGCATTTTTATTTTATTCATTGATTTTCCTTTAAATATGTTTCTCACTTACCATCCCCGATAGGTGTAACATTTAAGCAAAGATTGGAAATCAACACATTTATTTTGATTTTCTGGGCTGATTTTGGGAGACAATAATTCGGTGGCAATCTGCAGAGCTTTCTACCATTTATTTGGTTGACATGATTAAAGTCTTCCACAATCAGGGACACAGCATCAGGGTAGGTACTTTCAAAGCTTGAATGCCTTTTGTGACATACATCTGAGTAAAGCAGCTTCTCAAACAATAAATAATGTAGGGCGGGACTTAATTTTGTCCATGGGGATTGGATTGGATGATTGTGGTTTGCTATTGGTCGATCTCATGTGAGTGACAGGTTGTCCCGCCCTCGTGCCAAACACATCATCAGAGAAGAGATGAGCTGCAAAAGTAAATAAATGATGATGTGTTTGGGTAAGTCATATATAATAAATACTGCAATATTCTATAAATAAGAATTGTCTATTTTGGTGTAATGGTGACTTTATTAGTGTATAGCTTACAAAAGATTGGTGCAGAATATTTCTTTAACAGTGAGATTTTCCAGGTCACTTCAGAATAAGTAATGGGGACACCATGAATTTCCAGACATACACCTCATTAGCTTGTCTCATCGCATTATCCAAAATCATTAACAGATTTTTTTTTAAATTTATTTATTTATTTTGCATTTTATGCTCAGTGAAAATTCACAAAGCTTTCAATTTAGCGCCCACAAATTTCATGTAGACCTACCTCTTAAAAACCACCAACTTTAAAAGACTATCGTCGCCTAATGTAAATCTCTTGGTTGAAAGTGAATGGATGTGATTCATGCTGCACTGATTGTCAATTCAAATGTAATTGTTGTAAACAAATGATTCAATTTAATTCAGTTCAATACAGTGATCCGTTGAAGCAGCGTTTTTAATGCTTCCACTTTAATGAATAAGATCAAACAAATAAAGTAAATGGTATATTAAGAGAAACACTAAGCGTAGTTCATTTTCACAGACTCAGAGCAGTCCCACACCACTCATCTGCTCTTGCATCCAGTGTTCCTGCGAACACAACCATTCCTTGTGGTTGATCTGTCTGGCAGTCATGTGTATGAGTGGTGTGGCAGTAATCAAGAGCATTCTTACATGCTGGCAATATTTCAGAAGAACAGTCATGCAGGTTGGCATGATTAAAGTCTCCTGCAATCAGGGGCACAGCATCAGGGTAGGTTCACCCAAAATTGAAAATTTTGCCATCATTTACTCATGCCGTTTCAAACGCGTATGACTTTCTTTCTTCCTGTGAAATATAACAGAAGATATTTTGAGAAATGCACCAGTGTTGTTTTCCCCCACACAATGGAAGTCAATAGTGACCAACATTCAACAAAATATCTTCTTTTGTGTTCTTCAGGTTTGTATCCTCACGAAGACATTTTTATTTTATAGTGAACCTACTGATTTGATTACGTACATGACACTGAATAAAAATCCTGAAGAAATGCTGTTATTTAACAGTGAGATTCCATATTGGAACAACAAAATCAGAAAACCAGGAGCTTAACATGCCACCTTTCAATCTATGCGATCTGTCAGGCTGCACAGCTTTATATTAGGGGTCAGCTAGAGCATGTTGAGACAGAGAATCTATCAATACGTGATAAAGGCTTAACTCGAATCCTATAGTGGGATTCAAAAGTCTGATATCACCAGATAAATGCTTCACAGTTTTCTAATTAAAAGGTAAAAACAAGTCAAATAAGTGAATACTTGTAAAATGAATGTAAAATTTAAAAAAAAAAAAAAAAATTACAATGAATGAATGAATCCATCCGTCCAACCTGATATATGG